TGGTTTGCCTGGGGAAGTATCACCCTTTTTCGGTGATACATTTGTGTACGACCTTTTTTCGGTGATACATTCGTGTACGACTATTTTTTCGGTGATACATTTTAGTATCACCGTTTTTCGGTGAGACAGTTATGTCTCACCCCTCAGAGGGTGAGATGTATCACTATTTGATTTTCAGTGTGCGCTTGAAAATTGAACTCACATTAGCATCGCGCCATGCTTGTATGGACGCGGGTTTTTATTGCCCCGCGATGTGGGCTTGCTGCTGCGGTCCCGCGGCCGCCCACCCGGCAGACTGATTCCCAGAGTCGTTTTCGTCGCTCTGTCTCTCACGCACCCATACTGGACGCCCCGCATGAGTGCGAGAGAGACAGAGCGACGGAAACGACTCTCGGAATCAGTCGGCAGTGGCGGCGGCAAAGCGCGTGGTTGGGTTCGGCGCGCGTTTAGCCGCGCGTACGCGAGTCAAGGCCTTTATGGGTCTGCGGCCATAACGTGGGCAAACGACGCAGTGATTGTCGTGGGCGCGGCTTTGGGGACCTTTCACCCTCCCCTCCCCCCCCCCCCCCCCCCTCCCCCCCCCCTCCCCTCCCCCTCCCTCTCCCCTCCTCCCTCTCCCCCTTTCCCCCCCCCGAACCGACGCTGATTGGCTGACGCGCCCCCGTAAATGAAGATCAAGGAGTTTGTCCCAACGAGGGCGCGACCGCGCGACCCGGGCCCCGGGGAAGCTTGGGCTTGGAGTCCCCGAGGGTGCATCGATACTGATTATCGGCCACCAAGCACCCCGAACAGGGGCCCTCCCGGGGCCGGCCCGGAGAGGAGGGGAGAGAGGAGAGAGAGAGAGAGAAGAGGGAGAGAGGGAGAGAGGGGGAGAGAGAGGAGAGAGACGAAAGCGATGAGAGAGGGAAAAGAAAGGAGAGAGGAAAAGACAGAAGAGAGACAGAGAGACGAAAGCAAATGAGAGAGGGGGGAGAGAGAGAGAGAGAGAGAGAGAGGGAGAGAGAGAGAGAGAGAGCGACGATCTGTTCGGAAGGAGCCTGTTGGCCCTGGCCGCGCGGTTCGTCGCCCGGATGCTGCTCCGTTACACACCGTTTAGAGTGGTGTTGCCCAGCCGCCCCACCCCCACCCACCCACGCCCCACTGAAACACGAAACGCGTCGAACTTCGTCCCTCCTGTTGAGCCGAACCTGATTCCGAGAGTCGTTTTGGTCGCTCCGTTCCGCTCCCACCCACGCGGGAAGCCCCACATGAGTGCGAGATGAGACGGAGCCACCAATACGGCACTCGAAATCAATCCGCTGACACTGTAAAAAATAACGTATTTTTGTACGGAAAAGGTACAGACGAACATAGTGCGTAAAGTCCCAAAGAACTCATGTAATCGGGTACGGAAAAGTAGTACAGAAGTTCCGTTAGGACAGGTACGGACGGTCCAGGCAAATTATTGACCAGACATGTTCCGTACTTTCTCTGTACTTTTTTCTCGCAGTGGATAGCGATCACTGACTAACTGCGTCACCGAACGCGAAGCGATGTCAGTCGTTCACTGCGATTCACTGCCTCTCCCGCCTCCACTGGTAAATTAGCCGACGCGTGGTTTGCACGCGCTTCATTGGAGCATATAGCTCCGCTTCAAGGCAAGCAAGGAAGAGAAATCATGCATTTAGATGTGCACTGTGAAGACCTTACAAACTAGGCATTACAATGAAAAGCAGCTTGTTATAACAAGGAATTTTGAGCATACACAGGCTTACAATGAAAATACTTCGTAATATGCGAACTATTTTTGTCTATAACAAAGTAAATTAGTTTTTTTCGGCGTGTATGCTCAAGATACTTCGTGAGGTTTTGAGCGTTTGCGGAGGGCGGTAGTCGGAATTGCGATCAGACTGGATGGGGCACTCTTATTCTCCTTTCTGGGCGTGACACGCAATCGATCAATAATTCGCGAGAGAAGAATGACAAGCGACACATTTGGAAAAAAAAACGAACGGAAAGAGAAATCGGCGGCTTGGGGGTGGATTTGAACCCGACACCTGACTCCCCGACACGCGCCCTAAGTGACGGATGGGGTGACCAGCTGACTCACTTTCACTCTGACACACTGTCTCACTAATGCATGCATTAGCATTTTGGGAATGCATCACACTTGGGCGTCTACAAATTACGTAACGTATACTGACCCTCTCACACTCACTAGCAGTCCATGATGAGCAACAAGGACAGAGCTATGATGAAAAACGTTACGCCATTAGTGGGCGATCTCTTTTAAGGTGCGGTGTCTCTACTGCAGTGCACACTAAATATTTATGTACAATTTTGTACGTGGTGATGCGTAATTTTCAGCCTATTTTCAGTCGTGCATCAAATTGTGCGTCGATTTGCATAAATTTATGCATGATATTATGCAAAATCCACGTATGCTCAAAATCGTGCAAGTTGCACGTACAAAATTCTACCTAAACATTAGTGCGTGCACCGAAGGCGTGCGCGGCGTCTCTTTGCATCGCACTATGCGTGCGTGTCCTCATTAAGTTTGGTCTTTCAGTGGTGCGACCCACTCTGTCTTGCTGCCTCTTGCCAGAAAAACACGCAGGCGTCGGGAGCTCCGCTGGGGCCTGCGCGCTGAGCTGGGCTGGGGCCTGCGCAAGCCGGAGCACGCCAATAAATTGATGCCCCGGATCGCGTGGTGGCCGAGCCGAGCCGGCCGAGCCGAGCCGGCAGGGCCCACGTGTGGCACGGAACGGAGCGGCCCACACTAATCCAGTGGCGCAACCCGTGGAGCCGCAGAGCCCTAGGCCACGGTAAGGTCCTCCGCTGCACCCGGCGACGGATTCGGGAGGGTTAAGCTTCCCGGTCTGCCAGCATGCATCTAGGTTGCGCCGGTTGCGCCGACTTATCTTCCATATGACCTTAGGCCACGGAGGGGTAGGCCGGTAGCACGGTGTCGAGAGTCTCTCTCTTACACCGTGACGCCACACAGGGAAAACTAAAGCGTAAAGTTACGCTTTCCTTCGGGCGTACTGCACGCTTAACACCTTAGGACGTATTTTGAGCGTACAAATTACAAACTAATTTACTTTGTTATACGAAGAAATAGTTCGTAAATTACGAAGTATTTTCTTTGTAAGGTTATTTATGCTCAAAATACTTTGTTGTAACCAGCTGCTTTTGTTTGTAAGGCTTAAATTAGTTTGAAAGGTTTTCTCAGTGCAAGCTGCTTTTGTTTATAAGGCCCAAAATAGTTTGTAAGGTTTTCTCAGGGCAAGCTCCTTTTGTTTGTAAGGCAAAGGGTTTCTCAGGGCAAGCTGCTTTTGTTTTTAAGGCCTAAAATAGTTTGTAAGGTTTTCTCAGTGCAGGCTGCGTTTAAGGCCTAAAATAATTTATAAGGTTTTCAGAGATTGGCGCTTTCTTCCTTGTGTGAGCGTGCAGGAGCATAACCAACCGCCCCTCCTTTCCCTCTTGTCCAAAATGTATGGAGATGGATTCTCTGTACGCTTCAAGACAGTGTGGAGCACAGCTCAAGTTCTCCACACTTATTTTCACAGTGAGAAAGGTCTTAAAGTGCGTGGAGAGAGCCCCTATCATGACGTCATCGCGGTGCTTCTCGTATTCCAAAAAGGCGACGACGTGAGTGCCAATAATCCCCGCAGTGATTCGCCTATCGCAGCCGGACAGCGACGCGGGGAATGGGGGGGGGGGGCACGTCTCGCGGAGAGCAGATGCCCTGCAGGGTCGGGGTGGGCGATTTATGGAAAACTGCCCCTCGTAAATATTATCTATCCGAGTAGCCCCTTCACCTCCCCCTCCTCCCCCCTCTCCCTCTCTCTCCCTCTCTCTCTCTCTCTCTCTCTCTCTCTCTCTCTCTCTGTCTCTCTCTGTCTCTCTCTATCCCTCTCTCTCTCTCTCTCTCTCTCTCTCTCTCTCTCTCTCTCTCTCTCTCTCCCTCTCTCTCTCTCTCTCTCCCTCTCTCTCTCTCTGCAGCGCCGATACAGTGCAACCTGCTCGACACGACGTGCCTAGACCGCCGGCCGAGAGCAAAGCGGGTGGAGCAAGCGGTGCGCGGAGGGGCGGCTTCTCTGCATACATTTGCGCGAAAAGGCGATATTGGCAGGGAGGGTCCATCGCGGTCCATCGCGCGTCCGGCAGTCGAGTTTCGCGGGTTCGTCGTTTTGCAGTGACGGCGAGGCGGGAGCGAGTCCATTTCCCGACGCCGTAAAGACGGTTTTAGGGTTGCAGCCGCCTTTTGGGTCGCTTGGCAAACTCGGCAGTGGGGTGGTGTTCGAGATGACAACAGGAGGCACGCGGCCTGCTTCAGGCTGCAAGCAGAGCAGTGCCTCTGTCCCGCACTCTTGGAGAGTCCCACACTGTGAAACGAACTCCAGTAAAACAAACTCCACGGACATGGACGGTCAAGGCAACCGATGGCCAGACACGTTCCGTGTCTTCACTCTAAACCAACTGTGGACAGCTCCCCTTGAAGTGTGGGGACTGCAAACTCCACACGTCCGAGTGTGTAGAATCGCGCTCGGCGCGCTGGGAGAGCGCCGTCGAGGTAGGCCGCCAGAGCGCTGCCGCGCGCCTGTGTACGCCGGGAGGCCTACCCGCCGAAACACAGGCGCTCCAGAGCGGCACGCGACGCGGGCACACATGCTGTCGCTCTCGACTCGCTCCGGCCTGGAGTAATTTACTATGTTGCTTTTTGCCACAGTGAAGGACTAATTTGGGCCAAATTACGCCCATCGACGTTTGTAAATTTCACGAATCGTATAATTTCTTTATGAATTATTTTTTGTAAATTTACTATAGTATTGGTTGGGATTTCTATTGTATAAAGTCTTGTAAGGACGAAATGGTCTTCGCTATCACTTATCACTCAGCCAATTATTGTTGGTCGTTGGTCTTTTTGTTCATGATGAAGTTGGGCTGTTGGTGCTGTGTACGATCATGCCTTAACCGTGCCCGCCCGGCTTTGAAGGGAACAGAGTGGAGGCACGTAATCAATACTGGCGGAAAGCGGTCTTTATTACGCAGACTGGTTTTTCGTGGCATCCGGTTGACGGCCAACGCTCCGCTTCCGTTCCTCGGCGTGCTCGGTGTCGCTCAGTGCAGCAGCCTCTTCTCCAGGCACCATGGCGTCATCTTGCAGGCCTGGGCGTTCTGGTGGTTGGCGCACCAGTGTGCCGGCCCCCAGGTGCAAGGGTCGGCGCCGACGACTGGAGGGCCACCTTGGCCGTGAGGCACGGCCGCCACGGCCGCCACGGCGCAGAGCAGCGCCAGCAGAGCGGACATCACGACGACGCACAGGCGGAGCATGGCTGCGAGGATCCGAAACATTAACTTGCACTTCATGACGTAACGCAAGATGGAGGCTTAAGTTTGAGGGTGCGGACAATTTCAAGTACTTCCAAACACAAGTTCAAAATGCAGGGAAAAGAACTCATGCTTTTCAAAGAGGCATCGAAAGGGCCTTCCAATGTTCCAATGGCGCGGACACGTGGAAAGCACAAGCCTTCCAGCGGAGCTTCAAGCGTTCGGTTCCTCACCTTATGGCGGTTGACAAGTGCGGTTGACCACAGTTGCTTGCAGATAGCGCTTGGCCCGCTCGCGTGAACCTTTATACTCGCGAGTACGTGGAAGACCCGCGAAATGGAGGAGGGGAGATTCTTGGAAGCGAGGATTGGCGCACCTGCTCGATGGTCAGGACTCTTGCGCCTTACGACGGCCGGTCCTTGACGAGGTGAGCGCACTGCTTTCCAATCACGTCATATTCGTCCGAATACGAGTTTGTCACGTTCGTTTGAATGTGTTTTTGTCATGTACTGGCCTATATGACGTCATATTTGATTTTGTCGCGAGTCTGTTGCGTTGGAAATTTCTGACACGGAAGGGGCTTTAACGTCTTTCAAGTTCGGTATCACGGTGAAATTGTTTTTTTGTCCTCACTGCCTCGGAACTCAAACCCTCCACACTAAATTTTTTTGTACAAACTTTTTACGAGACATCACAGTTTTTAGCAGATAATACCTTTACTCAAAACATAACTAAAACTACAACTACAAGATACATAAAGGTGTCAGCTAGCTTTTACTCGAGAGTCCAAAAACCAAGTGCGTATCCTAACAATATAATAGGGGCTGGCTGCCGGGGCGGGCTGGTGTGTCTGGCGGTGAGGCGCAGCCTGCGCGGAATTCGACAATGGCACCCCCCCCCTCGCGCGCGACGGCCTGCGCGCAACATTGACAATCCCTCCCCGATTCAGCCCAGAGGCACCGGGAGCTCGCAATCCAACGGGCACGGCGCGGCGGTGCAGGCCAAGGCACAAAAGACTCAGTTAAATACTATATTTGGAATGAGCCCATACTATCCCGTAGAAGAAAACCAAACGAGTATCATCTGCTTTCATTAACGTTCGTTGAATGAGATTTTTTTTTGTGCTCACGAACTTTTCGTACAAATTTGTACGCGATTTTGTACCAAAATAGGCAAATATGTGCAGTCTTTCGTACAACATTTGTGCGAGAGGTTCGTGTGCAGAAGAAACTGTGATGTCTCGTACAAAATTGTACATAACATTTAGTGTGTGAGAGTGCAGCTAACGGTCCGACGCAACGGGTCTCGTATTCGATTACGTAGGACCGGAGGATTCAAGTAAGGTTTATTTTGAAAGAGCGGCGAGGAATCAAGTTTCCGGCAAAATTTTAACGGCATTCCGAATGGCATTACCTTATTACGCGCCCTTGAAGGGCGTGAACAGGGCGTGAAAAGACTGCCCTTCCCTTCAGGGCGTAGTTGTTTGTTTTTGTTTTCTTTTTTCGCCTTGTTTTACCAGTGTGTTGACAAGCACACTCCTCACTAATGAGCGCATGAACTAACGAGTGCGCCGACTTAGTGTGTAGGAGTACCAACGGTGTTGGAGGCCAAAGTTTCGGCCAGTGTGGTGGCCCCGCACAGCAGGGCGTTGTTTGCCGGCAGTATGCCTTTCCGGGGCGAGAGCCTTTGCTGGCTTCGGGCCTTTGCCTGCCCCGCAAACTCTACAGTGTGCTCGGTACACTCTCATTTCTCGAGCGTGACATTGCGTGCCAACATGTCACGCTCGAGGAATGACGTGTACGTACTCACTTGAATGCACTTTCATAAACAGTATACTGTTTTTAACGAATGTGACGTCATGATCGTTAGAATGTGAATGTTGTCACGATTGTTTTTGAAATGTGACGTCACTGTAGTTTGAGTGTTGATCCACGAGCCAACTAATGTGACACCCTCAGTAGACGGCCACACTGAGTGATTGAGTGAGGAGTGAGTGAGTGAGTGAGTGAGTGAGTGAGTGAGTGAGTGAGTGAGTGAGTGAGTGAGTGAGTGAGTGAGTGAGTGAGTGAGTGAGTGAGTGAGTGAGTGAGTGAGTGAGTGAGTGAGTGCACTACAAATCCAAAGGTCAGACTTCTCGCCACTCTAGAGGGAGACTTTTGTGTATGACCGTTTTGTGGCGAGACTTTTTTGTCTGACCAAATTTTGGCGAGACTTTCAGGTCTGACCAAATCTTGGCGAGACTTTAATGTCTCGCCATATTTTGGCGTGAAGTCTTTTCATCCAAATTGCAGTGTGAGTGAGTGTGTGAGTGAGTGAGTGAGTGAGTGAGTGAGTGAGTGAGTGAGTGAGTGAGTGAGTGAGTGGAATGCGAGAGAGAGAGAGAGAGAGAGAGAGAGAGAGAGAGAGAGAGAGAGAGAGAGAGAGCTTCGCCGTGGCTCGCCAGTCGTGATTTGATGTGGCCATGCCATCATCTCTGCCTCTTTGCATGCCAAACCGTTGTTGCCGCCCCTCTGCTGCGGACTGATTCCGCGAGACTCTTTTTCATCGCTTGTCTCTCCTCCACTCACACGGGGCGCGCCGTGTGGGTGCGAGAGAGACAGAGCGACGAAAACGACTCTCGGAATCAGTCTGCTGGACGGACAGACGACCGGCGCAGACAGACAGACGCTCCTCGTTTATTTGAGCTCTCTCGGGACCGGACCCCGATTCGGGGAAAACCGCTTTGGCATCTCTTTCTATTGGGCCGCAGACTGAGAGTCGTTTTCGTCGCTGTCTCTCTCGCACCTATAGGGAGATGTGCGAGGGGGAGAGACACACACATCGACGAGAACGACTCTCGGAATCAGTCAGCAGATTGCCAGACGTTCTCCGAATACTCGAGCGGCCAGGGAAGGTGCACTGTTTTGTTATTCCCAGTGGGGGATTGTTTTGCCGACTCGAACCGCTGATGATGATGAGTGGTGGTGCGTCGTGGCCGCGCCTCACAGTGGGCTAGAAGACCGGCGTAGGGGGCCAAAATTCTAGACGCCTTTTGTCCTCCAGAGTCGCTAAACAGGACTCGAACCGAACGTGTGACCTCACCAATGGCTTGCTCTCCGAACCATGAATCGATTGGTGGGGTCACACGTTCGATTCGAGTCCCATTTAGCGACTCTGGAGCTCAAAACGCGTCTAGAGTTTTGGCCGTCGACACCGGTCTTCTGGCCCACTGTGCGCCGCTCCGTTGGGTGGGGGAGAAAGGGAGAGGGAGAGAGGGAGAGCCCGAGTAAAAATAGAAGGCTGCAGATAGGCTGACGCTTGGCTGACGCATGGCTGTATGGACCGTTTTTTGGCTGTATGCATGGCTGCCGTGGCTGCGTTGCAGCCATGTCGCAGCCATAGCGATGTCCTGGACTTGCAGCCATGCACGCTGCAATGGCTGGTCTGGCTGTTTCACGGAGCGCTTTGGCTGTGGAACGCTTCAGAAGCTGCGCACAGAAGCCTTTTGGCTGCCCGAAGCAGCCTATAAACGCTGCCACGCTCAGCCAACTTAGCTGCAGTGGCTGTAGGCTGCGCGTCGCAGCGTGTTGGCTGCTGGCGCCAGCCCTGCCGCGTAGACGTTACAGCCATGTAGGCTGCAATGGCTGTAGGCTGCGCGTCGCAGCGTGTTGGCTTCTGGCGCCAGCCGGGCCGCGGCTGCACTATCCAGCCACGTAGGCTGCAATGGCTGTAGGCTGCGCGTCGCAGCGTGTTGGCTGCTGGTGCCAGCCGGGCCGCGGCTGGACTTTACAGCTATGTAGGCTGCCATGGCTGCAGGCTGCGCGTCGCAGCGTGTTGGCTGCTGGCGGCAGCCAGGCCGCGGCTGGACTTCGCAGCCAGGCGGGCTGCAATGGCTGAAGGCTGCACGCTGCGCGTCGCAGCGTGCTGGCTGCCAGCGACAGCCTGGCCGCGGCTGTACTTTCCAGCTACGTAGGCTGCAATGGCTGTAGGCTGCGCGTCGCAGCGTGTTGGCTGCCGGATGCAGCCGGGCTACGGCAGGACTATACAGCCATATAGGCTGCAATGGCTGTAGGCTACGGATGCAGCATGGTGGATGCTGGCGGTATTCAGGCGCACTCCTTGATTAAAGGGTTATAAAAAATAGAAAAAAATAGAATGAGTGCGTGGTATGCTGATATTTGAGTTGAATACGTTAACATACATGAGCCATGCAAGTTTCGTAAAAATCGGGACACTTTTTTGTTATCTTTGATATCTCGGGAACGGAAAGTCCTAGAGGAAATTACTTAGCAGATTTGGATCTGGAACGGTGTTGGGACCCTAGAAAATCTACTAAGGGATCCATAGATCCTCAAAGGGCGTAACAGGCACCCTCAAAGGTAGTCATGGGGACCTTCATGTTCTAAGGAGGGAAGCCTAGTAGCGATATGGGTGCTGCCGATGGCATCCACGAAGCTGCAGGATGCAGCCGAGATGTGGCTGTGACCCGCAGCTTCATAGCTGCCAGGGACAGCGTGGCCCGGGCGAAAGAAGGCTGCCTGGAGCATCCTGAAGGCTGCGGGGTGCAGCCTACAGCAGCGCCTCACAGCCTCTAGGCTTCCGGGGTAGACATGTGCGCCGCGCCGCCGCTGCGCCGCCGCCGACAAATTTTACCACGCCGCCGCCGCTGACCGAAAATTTGCGGCGCGCCGCCGCGCCGCCGCCGATGATTTTACCGGCGGCGGCGTCGGCGTCGCGACCTTAAATGCCCTAAATATTTGCATTTCCATCAGCAGCGAGCGCCCAGGGATAGGCAACCCGACGAGCACGTCCTCCGCCGCGAGAACAAAATCTCATTGGAGTGTTTAAATTGCTTAACTTTTACCTTTGTAACGAAACTAGTCCACCCTAAAGAACTAGTCCATCAAATTGTGTTTTCTTTTCATGGGCATGTTTTTAAATTGAGAAAATAGACCAAATTTAAGTCAACCACGCCGCCCGCGCCGCCGCCGCCGCCGCCGATCAAGACATCGGCGCAGACGCCGGCGTCGCCGCCGCCGCCGGCTAAATTTCGGCCAAACGCCGCCGCCGATGAAAATGCGGTCGGCGCACATGTCTATTCCGGGGGCAGCGTGGCCCGGGCGAAGGAAAGCTGCCTGGGGCATCCTGAAGGCTGCGGGGTGCAGCTTAGAGCAGTGCCTCGCAGCCTCGTGGCTGCTGGGGGCAGCGTGGTCCGCGAAGGAAGGCTGCCTGGAGCATCCCGTAGGCTGCGGGGTGCAGCCTAGAGCAGCGGGGGCAGGGCCGACTCGGC